TTGGTCCTAAAACCACCACGAAGCCAGATTAGAATATCAACAGGGAACTCCTACTCTTGCCTTTTTGACTACCGAACTGTTGATTGTGAACACTTATCAAACTGGAGAATAACGACCGGGAATCTTACCTAAGTAACGCCCCCAACAAAAACAGAAACAGGCAAATACTAATGTACTTAAATAATTTTAACAATACCTAAATAATTTACAACACAATTAGATTGTCTAAACCCATTATAACTACAATGTAAAAGCTACATCTTACAAGTTAAAATCTAAAAATTGAAGGGAAAGTTAAACTAAAAATTCTTATATGGCGCCTTCTCACCAGTCACCTTTTAACTACAAATTGTCCGTCGTCCATCCTCGTCCTGGTACTGGGACACACGTACTGGAACACACCACTCTCGACCGGGCGTCTCATCTGAAAAAGTAAACAAATCATTCTGGACTTCGAAAAGCTGAAGGTTTTTCACCTTTCCATGAACGACGCTTCGATAGAATGAATGTCGCCACCGTCCAGCCGCCGGAGAGCAGCACATCTGTGGTAGTGCTGCGTATGAGGTGGTTCCAGAAAAAAATCGAGGTCCAATGGTGTGATGTCCACGAGGAGTCGAATGTCGATGGACGTCGAAGAATTGCAGCTTGAGAAGAAGGTCCAGCCACAAGGAAGTCGAAGGTTCTGGCTAGGGCATCGAAGAATGGTGTTGTCGCAGGACGTCGAAGAATAATGATGGTAGAAGAACATCGGACAGAGTCGGCTCGAACTGTAGGACTGCTTCACCTTGAAATTGACACAATTCGCTTCACGCCAGAGAGCACTTTCCGAGTCATTAAGTACTATTAACACGTTGACGACGAGCCAATTTTTTCGTGTCTGTGCCGTGGGACGACACAGTTTCTTTCTTGTAAATTTGTTATTTCTCGAAAAAATGAGTGATTACATTCAAGAACATTTGAAATCCGCAGTCATTCCAGCAGTATTCAAATTTTGCCCAAAATCTACTCACATTACCTAGAGAGAGCAAAGCTCATCCTAAGTATGGAATGCCTTACCCTTTGACATACTGCCACCAATCTTCCTCAAGAAACTGCCATCAGGTATAAAAGGGCAGTCGGTGGTGGCATAGACGAGCTGAAGATGCAACAGTTTTGTACAAAAAGAAAATTTTTGGAAACAAACTCATTTACCTTGGCCGTTTCGTGGCGATCCCAGTCCCGTGAGTTCGCGAAATGGCGTCGCCTGCCCATGTGGTCTGAAATTGACGGGACCGAACAGTTTGCCCAATGGGCACAGTGCGACGCCGTGCGCTTCGGAAAGTTTGCCGATCTGAACCACGTGTAATGAGTAAAGGAACACGGTAAATGACACTATCCAGCAAAAAGGCTTACCCCTAATCCCCACAGGGATCCCTGCCTGCTAGAATCGGGTCACTCTCCGGAACTGCTGCTCAGAGCGAGCTGAAATGCAGTGGTCATTACCATCTTAGTGAATCAGTTTTTGGTCGGACATACCCCTGATCCCCATTGGGACCGACCGCAGTATTCTTTCTGATCCTTTGCACCGAACACGTCGTTATCAATTGTAATTGCCGTTTGCTGCCCATTGTTCGAGAGTTGGACTTGGTTTTGACGCCAGGAGTTTCTGAAAGAGCAGGCACAACAAAGCACAAAAAGCGAAAGAATCCATGAGTTCACTGAAAGCAAATCGGTGACAAAGCTGGTAACGTCAAGGTTTTTCCTCACTTGTATTAGGTTGATGCATAATTATTGCGGATTTTTTTCAGCAAATTCTACTTGAGCAAACGATAGAAATATTCAGCAAACACATGTTCGAATGATCGCTCCGGAACATATCCAGCATCTCTGTCAAGCACTGCTTCCATTTGCTAGGAGGTCGGATTCCACAGGCGAAAAGTTTCGATTCTTGGAGCCGATCACGCCTTGACGTTGGCCATCAAGCCATCCACTTCGACGAAAGTTCTGTTCGTTAACCAATTTTTCAACGAACGATTGACGTGATAATCCATGGGAGCCTCTGTTGGTGAATAGGGCGACCGTAGAAGCAGATTCCATTCTTTATTCGGCTTTGGCTGACTGTTACATCGCCGAAAAGTTCGTTGAGATCACGTTATGAATAGGCCGCTTTCCAATATTTCTCGAAGTAATAGAGCACAATGTGGAGTAGGTGAAGATGACTTTCTGGACATATTTCTGTTAAGGAAAGCGAGAAGATTGTTTCTACGAAAATCCCAAATTCAAAAGTTTGGTTTTAACGAGAGAAAAGAAGCCGCAAAAAAATCCGCAATAATTATGCATCAACCTAATAGTTTGTTCAACCTTGAAGACTAGATGACAAAAAAAGCGGTGAAGACGATGCCCTTGCCTGACCAGCTCCACCACCGATCATAAAGAGCAAAACCGCTTTCACATTTCAGACAGCCCCACAAGATCGCAGAAAACTTCAATTGCACCCGCTTTTGAACTAATCGGAGAGACTGAGTATCGCTGAAGTGTGAAAGCAGTAAAAATATCGTTAAATGTGCTCAGTCTCTGAGATTTCCGCGGCGGAATCGTTGGCTGCTCTGCCATCCTTCCCATTTCAGGAGGCAGGGGCGATCGATCAGTTCGGTGGTCATTGTTTTTCATTGATCATTTGCTTCAATAAGTAACATCAGCTGTGCGCCATCGCATTTTGTCCTTCTCCTCCAATTCCCTTTGCTTCATACGGCTTAACGAAGGATTCTGCAAGTATTACCAGCTTTTTACGGCGCGACTGCTTAGTGTAACAAATGTTTCTAAAAAGTAAGTGGCTAGGCTGAAAATGGGCAATCTTATGTAATATCAAGTAGATGGAATGTAGTGGGAAGAAAGGGCCACGGTCCTTCCTATTACTATGCTCTGGAGCGCAAGGAGGTGTAGCCGGCTTTAAAGGCCTGCAGTTGTGTTACGAAAATTCTTCAGCCTCAAATTGTAGTTTTTACGCTAGGAACAAGCCTCAGGAGAGAAGGAGCTCTGGATGATTACCTCGTGACAAAAAGCTGGAATGAGATAAAGTTGATCATTCGGTTGACCATTGATTCCTTTCTTTCCAAAATAAGTAGCGCGCTAGCATATTACTTCTGCTTAGAAAGCATCTCTTTCTTCTTTTTCCTTTTTCTTCCTTCTCCTCTTCTTATCTTTTCCATATATCTGAAATCAGAACAAATCCATGAAATATCCTGAATTCAGTAATGTATACAGTTCACGGAACTACTCAGGCGAACAAATCGAAAAAAAAATCGACACGACATTAGGATTGAATGTGAAAAAAAGAGAATAAGGAGCACGATCAAAACTAGATAAGCAACTGATTGTACAAATAGAAGTGACAAAGCAAAGCTGACTATCCTAGTATACTAATATTATCCAACTTTATATAACGCGCTTATATCTTTCTGTGTGTGTGTGTGTTCGACTGAAAATTCATAACTCCTGTCCGAGTGGACTTAGAACGTTCAAACTTGGTAAGGGTACTGAGGGCAGAAGGGGAGCACTTATCGTGGGTGGCCGGGCCCCGCCCACGGACCCGGAATTTCGTGTGAGAAAATATTCGAGTGAAAAATCATAAATTCTGTCCCCGTGGACCTAGAAAGTTCAAAATTTGAAGGAGCACAAGCGGCGGGATGGGAACAACATGCTGGATAGCAAAACTAGGCTCCGCCCACAATGGGCGGGGTTTGAGCAGAAATTCATTACCCCTGCCTCCGTGGACCTAGAAAGTTCAAATTTGCTAGGATTACACGAAGCAGGACTGGAACACTTATGATGGGTGGCAGGACCAGACCCGCCCACAGGGAGCGGGAATTGCGCGAAAATTGTTAATTTAACGCTAGGGCGTTCGAACGTGGTAGGATTATAGGAAACATAATGGGAACACTTATGGAGGATGGCAGCACCGGACTCCGCCCACAGTGGCCCAGCAGGCGGGTTTGAGCGGAAAATCATAACTCCTGTCCCCGTGGACCAAGAGAGTACAAAGTACGTAGTAATACAGGCGGCTGGATGAAAACGCTCATGGTGGTTGGTAGAGCCGGACTTCGCCCGCAAGGGGCGGGGTTTGTGTGGAGAACCTAAACTTGGGCCTAGGGCGTTCAAACTTGGTAAGAATACAAGCGGCAGGATGCGAACACTTTTGGTGGGTAGCAGGGCAGGAATCCGCCCAACGGGGCGGGGTTAGAGTGGAAAGTCATAAATCCTGTTCCTATGGAACTAGAGCGTTCAAAATAGGTTGAAGTGCACGCGGCAGGATGGGAACCCCTATGGAGGATGGCAGGATTGGACTCCGGTCACAAGGGGAGGGGTTCGTGCGAAAAACCTAAATTTGGACCTAGAGCGTCCAAGTTTGGTAGGAGCACAGGAGGCAGGATGGGAGCACCCATTGAGTTGGAGTTGATCGTGTCCGATGAAGAAGAGCTGCACGTTGTATGAAGGGCGTCGGTCCTTAGCCTTCTGTCCGTGGTCGCCACTTGTTTTGAGTTGGACGAGTACCACTTCTTGGAAGGTTAATTTCACCGGAGCGACAAGCTCGTTTGTTCCAAGCCTTTGCATTAATCAGAAATGATAAGGATTGAAGTCATAGTCAAAACATATTTCCAATATTCTAGGCAATTTCGGCCAGTGAGACAAAATATAGCACAGTCATTTAGAGGTGAGTCAACAAAGAGGAATCTATTTCTGTTAATTACAGAAACCTTCGTGATTTTCGGAAGGACCCACAAATGGGCATAAAACAGAAATACAAAATTACTGGAGACAGTCGGACCGCACGGCTAACGCCGGGCTTCTCTCCTTCTTATGATAGAGTTGTGATAAACAGAGAACAGCCCACTCCT